ACTCTAAGTAATACAGAGAGGGCCAGAAACGCTCAGGACTGAAAGAAACTGGCAGAAAGAAACCAGAAACATGACAAGAGATAGAAAAAAAAAACAACCTCCAACTACTGACCCTGGGAAAATAAGCCCGGGCAAGATAAATACAGAAGAGAACAAGTGCAGTAATCATGCAATATTAGACATGGCATCAGCGGACATAAAGAAATACCTTTGTGACCTCATAGATGAATTTAAATCTGTACTTCTGATCCAAGTGAGGCAAGATATAAAAAGATTAATTAAAGAAATGATAAGCTCTTCCCATGTGAACACAGATGGAAGACCAGAAGAACTGTGAAAAGGAACAGAACTGTGAAAAGAATATAAACAAAATCTAGAATACATGAAGCAGATCCAAAGAGATTACTAGGTAACTAAAAACTCTATTGAATGCTGGAAAAATGCCTTGACAGAAACTGAAGTTAGCCTTCTGAAATTTGAAGAGAGATTTATGATGTGTGATCATGAAAGAAAAGATCTCTTAAAAATAACAAGGAACCAGGAAGAAATAATTCAAAGGCTAGAAGACGACAAGAGGATTTATAACTTAAGAATAAAAAACATGAGTGAAGAAGCAGGAGTAACCACAAATGAACTACAAACACTATTCACAGATTATAATTAAGGAAAATTTCCCAAGCATAGGAAAAAGAAATGATATCTAGGTAACTGAGGCATACAGTACTCCAGCCACCTACAACCCAAACAGATCTACACTCAGACATAGAATAATCAAGATTCCAGAAATCTGCCATAAGAACAGAATATTAAAAGCAACCAGAGAAAAGAAGCAGATCACCTACAAAGGAAAAATTATCAAAATAATGACAGACTTTTCAACACAAACTCTCAAATCAAGAAGAGCCTGGGGGAAATAGTCCAAGCCCTGAAAGAAAATAACCTCCAACCAAGATTGATGTACTCAGAAAAACTCTCTCTCAAAATTAATGCAGAAACAAGTCATTTCCAAGGTAAGGAAGAACTGTGGGCATTCATCGCCACCACCCCAACCCTACAAAAAATCCTGAAGGACATTCCAGAGAGAGAGAGGAAAAAAACCAGGATTCCAGCAACAGTGGCAGAGAGGCCTCAGTGAATGGGGCAGACAGTGGAATGAAGGAGAAAAGTGGACAAATAATAGCAGAAGAATAGAATAGCAGAGGTGAGGCAGAGACGGAAAGCTATAATCTTTAATATAGATAGCCTTGATACACTAACAAAAAAGAAACACAGGCAGAGTAGATTAGAAGGCAGGCTCCATCGAAATGCTCTGAATAGGAAATATACTCAACCTGAAAGAGGGTTAATAAACTGAGAGTCAAAGTTGAGAAAACAATGCTGTACGTGACAGGAAACCAGAGAGAAATAGGGACAACTCATCCAGCAGCCACAGATAGACTGGAAAGCTATGACACTTTTGGGCAGCGTAGAACTACACTGCTGGAAGGAAGGAAAACCTTGTGACTTTAGTAAGTAAAGGAGCACAGCTCAAGATCAAGCTCAGGGGTAAAAAGGTTAGCAACACTCAGATAGGTAACAGGTTGGCCTCCTAATGTAAAAATAAAGGAGGTAGTGGGACCCAAAATATACAAAGCACCCTGAGAAAGGGAAAGGGGAGGAATTGTCTAAAAAAGGAAGGCAGAGGACATTGTTAATAGTGTATCAAGATTTAAACGTCACAGAAGTCTTATTGCTCTGTTTAGTTTGATTATATTTTGTTCTAGTCTGTCTACTCATATTAGATTTCAGGGCACAGACAGCTAACCCAAAATAGCAGGTTATACCACGATAACCATGCTTAATTTCCTATTAATTTAAATGCTGTATTACTTACATTGTCTTACTATTGATGTTATTTGAAGCTGGTTTGTTAGATTGCTGTTTTGCCCTGACTGATTTTATTCGAATTTGGTATGCTTGATAGTATCATGTCTACGAGTAGAGGCAACTACTCTGAAGATGACAAGCTGTAAAAGATATCGATACCCGTTTTGATTATTAACTGCTTTCAAGTCCTACAATGTCTTCAAAATTGTGTTTTTATAAAAATAGCTATGTAATGCTATGCTTACCTATATAATGCCTGATGATGTGGACAATTCTATTGAAAATAACAAGGCACAGCATAGTAACTACTGTAGATCATCTAATATTCTGGTCTTATATGTCTTTGGCATTTCATGGTTTTCTAGCAATTTGTTTTGTTGTCTTGTTTTGATCTGTTTTTCCCTATAATACAGCAAGCATAGATATACATGTAGAGATTCATACATGGGAAGAACTTCTAAACTATTTATGGGAACAGATTATATAATATACGATGTAATGAACAGATACTCTGAAGAAGAGACACTAAGAAACCCAGTGCTAATTCTGTAACATTATGATATAAAATCTAGCAATACTATCATTCACTAATCATAGTGATATTAGTCTAGTCTCTTAAGTTCAGTTTCAGCATAAGTAAGATAAGGACAGCTACTACGAAGAGAATGAGAGACATTATGGTAGTCATTATTGACTGCGCCAATGTCAGGTCTTGAAGACCTAAAAAGCCTTCGTCATCCTGTAATGATTTGATTAGCTCTATAATGTTCAGTATATATTCAATGTGTGTGAAGATGGGGACAACTATTTGGAAGAAAACTAGAGACAATAAGATAGACAGTGAAGATCTCAGTGGACTTGCTTTGAAATCTGTGTTTCTTTAACTTTTTTCCTTACGAACTGTTTTGATCTGTTTTGTTATGTTTAATATTACCCTCTCTAAGATACAAAACAAGTGTGTAGGACTGATAACTATATTACTAAATTTTTGTTGGATCATTGAGCAGAACTGTTTGCAGTGTCATTATTTGAGTGTCACTTTGTATGCTTTAATCTTATAATTTGAACAACTATTTCTAAGATGACAATATGTAACTTATCAACTAGTGATTTTTTTACTGTTTATTTTTGAAATTCTGTATTATTTCTACCCTTTTTTTCTGTTTTGTTTTTTTCTCTTGAAATCAAACAAATAAAGTTCAGGAGTTGGATATTTTGTCTCACCTTAGACAAAGCAACTAAGACATTTTTGCCACAGTATAAGAGTGGACACACGCCACCATACATTTGTCTGAAGCCTGGAATGCACAGCATCAAGAGCCAGCCCTAAATTAGCTGATCGTATTGGGTGCCACTCTGGAGGAGGATGCCAAGGATGGGTGAGACCATGCATGCGAAGGGACAGTGAGTACATGGAAAAGCCCTGTCGTTTCCTTTAAATTTTTCTCTGCCACTAAAACTGTTCTAAAACTTAGAGTAGTAGAAAAAGAGAAAGAACATGCTGGATTATCACCTCGGGCTCTGTCAGGGCCAGGGCAGCAGAGCGGTAGCCCTGTCCCCACCACACCGCAGCTTTTGTACTAAAAGGGGCAGGGTGCGGAGAGGCTGGGTAGTGCAGCGAGCATCACTGGCAGAGGAACGGGTGTGGCGACAGAGTTGATGAAGGCAGGCAGGGCAGGGAGTCCCCTCTGCACCTTCTCTGGGGTCACGGAATTCTCCTGGCTCTAGGCTCCTTGACACCTGCTCCTCCTTCACAACAGAAGCCTTAACCCTTACAGCAGGGCAGCAGAAGGAACCAGAACCGAAGGCCAGGGAGTAAACCTGATGAGTGCCGTGAGGACCGCCACCCAGAACCCCAAAGAGATGAGTTTAGACGTTTGACAATTAGAAGCAAGAAACCTCCAGTTGGATGATGTCAGGGCAGAGGGCAGGCTGAAGAGAGATGCCCTTGGCAACAGGGTGGGACCAGCTACATGGTGCAGAGCTTTCTGGACATCACCTTTTGTGGCCCAGGAGGACAGAAGACAGCAAGGACAGTGTGACAAAGACTTTTTCTGAGTGCCCGTTGGATCTGGTTTGGAGAGTGTGATCAAGGAGGCAGGCATTCTCCAAGAGACACACACGAGCAGCGAGGACCCAGCTGGTGAGACCTCAGCCCGGGGCGTCACTGTCACTGTGTGCATTTCCGGGGGAGGGCGGGGGGGGGCCCGTCAGTGACATGGAAGTGTCTGCTGAGTCTGGTGCTGATAAACTGAGCAGATAAACAGAGTGGGAACCAAGTGACAGAGAACAAATTGAGGACATTCAATTCTGGGTCGTGAGCAGATTTCAGCCACACAGAGCCCCGCCTACATACGGTTCAAGGGTCACACATCATCTAAGTGGATTTCTATTAAATATTACTTCCTTTTCCACAGTCAACTTGTGGTGGCTGGGGCAGAGCACTCTGCAAGACGCCTGTCTCCTCCTCCTGGAGCCATTCAGACTGCGCTCACGGAGTGTGAGTAGGAGAGACTCGGGGGAGGGAGGCTGGAGTGTGACGGTAACCACGGAGGACCTTAGGTGGAAATGGACACATAGATCCTTATCTCGTGACTGTGCAAGACCGTTCCTAGGGTTCACCCTAACTGTGATCTTAGCAAACCAACGTCTGGGCTGGGAGCCAAGGTGAATCCCCCTCCAAGTGCAGAGCTCTTTCACAAGAGCCAGAGGCCAAAGCCAGCATTTGAGGGGGAGAGGTGCACACAGGGATCAGAGCAGAGCAAAGGGGCCCCCACACCTCTGGTCTGATGAGAGCCGTGTGCTCTGGCGGTTTAGATACAAGGTTGGGCATATGTAATGTCAGAGGCTCTCACAGAAGGGCTCTGCCCATGGCCCTGGTGTCTTCCAGGGGTCCTTCTGCAGTGCATGGGGGAAACCTTGTCTGTGACTCAGGTCTTAGAGCGCCTAGACGCTTACACTGTCCACACAGTTTATACCTCTGCACACCCCACCCCCTTAGTCCAAATATAGCATCTAGGTACTTCCACCGTCTGATCAAGCCATCCATTAATTCTAAAGTATTATTTCTATTAATTCTCTACTGACTCTCTATTGACTCTATAATCACCCATTCCAAATATGTTCTCACTCACCAGGTCCTTGGAGAAAACAGGTTTGTGGTGTCAGAGTGGAGCTCTTCTGTATGTCCCCTAGAAGATCTGAATGTGCGGGGTGTGGTGAAGCCCTGCTGTCCACACCTGTCCTCCCTGGGCAGTGCAGGTCAGGGCCAGGCTCAGCACACAGGAAAACTGCACCTTGACTGAGGAGCTGAGGACTGAAACCTCCCCAGGCTCTGCCCTCCTCAGGCAGGAATCTGAGCAGCAGCAGGGAAGGGAGGAGCCCAGAGCTCAGGGCCCTGACCCTGCAGGGACAGGAAAGTGAAACTGAAGGTGCTCTTCCCGGAAGCAGGGCCACTGCCAGGCAGGGGAAGTGAGAGGCACCCTGGTTATTCTTTCTCATCGTTTTTCGGGGACTGGGGAGGACTGCTGTGTGGGGAGAGAACAGGGCGTCCCAGGGCCTGGGCACAGGTCACCATGAGCAGACTCCAGCTTTGGCCAGGCAGGAGCTGAGCCAGACTCACAGAAGGGGGCTCAGCCCTGGGCTGACACCACTCAGGGCTCCCTGTGAGCTCCCACAGACCAGACTCCATGGCAGCGAGGCCCAGGCAGCAGCAGGTGTGTGCTGTGTCCCTGTCCCTGGCAGAGAGTTGGCACTGGAGTTTCCTGTTCAAGGACTGTCTCTGTTAACCTACTGTGGACTCCCAGCAGAACTTGGGACTCTAGGCAGGAACAGATAAACAAGGGGCTCAAATCCAAACGTGCACTAGAAGAACTCACAGAAAGCAGGAGGCTGCTGTGTGTGCCCAGAGAGGGCTCACAGGGGCAGGGTCTGGGGGCACAGAGCTCCACAGCCTCTCCCATGGGTGCCCACCCCAGGTCCCCAAGCTTGTGATGGCTTCCTCAGCCCGACAGCTGCTGGGGCTTCTCACTCTGTGAAGGTCGGGTAGATCTCTGACTGCAGGATCCACACCAGTTTCCTGTCCCTTTTCCTCTCCAGGAGTCCGCCTCCCCCAAGCCCCGCCCCTGCATGCAGTGGATGTTTTTTCCCGGAGTTGCTCCCCATGCTGCATGTACCCAGGATCCCACAGCACAGCTCTGTGTATTGTTTGAAGGCCAAGTGCGCCAGGTTACCTGAGATGAGCACACTGTAAACCCCAGAGGCATTAACATCCTGAAAGGGAGCTGCCTCTCAACAATTGAAAACATGGAGTAGAACATGTACTGAGTGAATGAAAAAGTAGGCAGGGGTTGGAAAGAGAAGTAACAGAGGGTAGAAATCAGGAGCTGTGGAGCGGTGCTGCCAGGTGAGCCCAGCGCTGTGCTTCCCGCGGCTGGCAGCGGGGTGGAATCCAGCAGCACAGCGCAGCCTCCACGGGGCTGAATTCTGGCAGCTAGCAACAGAGGGGCCAAGGAAGGAAAGAAGAAGCCCTCTGTGATCCCAAGAAGACCACAGGAGGACTCTGAGTGCCAGGGGACTTGGAGCGACTCGCAAAGTGGCAGCACAGAGCAGCCTGGGCGCCTGGCCCTGCTGTGGGACAGACAGGCCTGCTGGGCAGGTCCACCCCGCCTGAGCACAGGTCACCCTGCTGCAGCCAGAGGCCGGATGTGGGTCAAGCTGCACGGAGGGGCCCCTGTGGTCCAGCCTGTCACCTGCCCTGCTGTCCTGCAGAGGAGAGAGGGGGAAAGAGATGGAGGCCCTGGGCCCTGAGCTCACTGTCCCCTCTGTCACCCATGCTGCTCTCTGGAGGTGCTGAGGTCCTTTGGCCAGGGATGCCTGCCCCAGCCAGACCAAAATCCCCAGGACCTGTGCCGCAGAGATGCTGCGCTGAGGAGCAGGGTGTGAGCACAGAGCTCCCGGGGCCTCACCTGCCAGCAGGTCCCTGTGCCAGGTCCCTCTCTGTCCGTGAGCGGTGGTGGGCGGGTGCTACTTCTGTCCCCTGCCTGTGGCTGACTCTGTGTGTGGAGGGAGTCACCCTAAGCACAGGCCTCCCCTGATGGCTCAGTCCTGTTTGGGTGTGAGAGTATTGGTCCCTTGGGCCCTGCCCCTCTTCAGCCAGGCAGGAGGCTGACTTTCTGCCCTGTGCTGCTTCACTGAAACCAAAAGGGACATTTGGTTAAGGTTAAGGTAAGAGATTTTTATGTTTTTCTTTTCTTTATTACTATCTTTTTCAAAGGGAAAGTACTCATGGACATCTGACCGTTACACGAACCGCCCAGGGTGCTGCTCAGGCTCGGTAGTGGAACCCTCGTCCACCCCTCCCTGTGGCAGCCTCCAGGGCCAAGCCCTTACCTCTGCACAGCAGGCAGTTAGCGGGGTCCCTTAAAGAAACGGGGTGGATGGTAGAACTCCTTGTACAGCAGTTTTACATGACTTTATGGTTTTCTGTGTCTATAGGACTATATTTAGTTCTGTCCTGCTTTGTTCTGTTTCTCCCTCTAATATAGAAAGGATAGAAATACATGTAAAGACTCATGCATGTGTACAATCTATAAACATTTGATGAGAACTGATCTTATGACACATGATGAAATGAACAAATACTTTGAAAGAAAAAAAGGGGCACTGCAGTACCCAGCGCTGATTCTGGGGTGTCATCATGTGAAATCCAGCAATACTATGAATCTTTGTTCAGAATGATTTTACTCTGCTATGATGTGTTTGGTCTCAACATAAATGAAGATATGGAAAAATGCGTACATGTCTAAGTGTATAGGATTGACAGCCACATGACTTAGGTTTTGTTGGATAGTTGAACAGAACTGTTTGCAGTCTCCCTGGTTGAATTCCCATTTGTATGTTCCACTTTTGTATCTTGAATAATTATTTGTGGGGAATAATATGTAAACATGAACTAGTGATTTATTACTGTTTATTTTTTTCTTTGAAAGTATGTACTATTTCTGCCCGTTTTCTGTTTTGTTTTGTCTTTATTTAAATACAATTAAAAAAAAAAAGAAACAGGGTGGAAGCCTGAAAATGATTTCTCGTGCAGAGCATTCTTAGCTTTGTGACTGTGGTGAGCCCTGTTTGAAACAGATCTCTTGCATCCCAACAGAAGCAGTAGAAAGAATTAGAATCTTATGTACCTGTCCTGACTCTCCAAGGTGAAGCGATCATTATGTTCTGCAAACTTGTACTGACAAAAAGAAAAACCTAATTACCCCCCTACAAATGCACCTGCCTGGGGTAGAGAAGCGGCCCCATGACTGCGGTGGGTGTCCCCGGGGAGGTGTGCAGGGCCAGCACAGCTGGAAGGCGAGACCCATTCCTGGGTGGCCAGGTGGGGCGGCTCCGTAGGACACGATGCTTTTAATCAAGTTGCTGCCAATGATATTTAACATTTAGAGAAAACCAAAAAATACACAATTTGGTGAGCCTGCGTATGAACTGATTACTTCTTTAGTTTTGTTTTTTGACTTTTTGTTTTTGTTTTGATTTGCAGTCCTAGGGCTTAAACTCAGGGCTTCACACATGCTAGGCAGGTACTCTAGCGCTGAGATACATTCCCATTAGTTACGTAAGCTTTGGAAAATGCGAACATTTGAAATATATTATTCTTTCTGCCTTTTTCAGTGGAAAATTGATGTGAAGAGCAAGTTCTCATCAATCATTTGGTTACGATGCAATTTGTATAGGAAAAGCAATTTTAATACTCCCCTATAAAAAGCAATGTTATTTATTCACTTGGATACTCTTAGAGTCCCCTGGCGCAAGAGAGAAGCAAAGTACAAAACGAACAGCTTCCGTGAGTTGAGGACGTGGACGGGAGCACACAGCCCACGGCGCTGCGCTGTCTCCTTCTCCTGGACAGAGAGGCAGAGGGTGATGTGACCTCGGACTGCAGTGGATATTCATGCTGTCTGAGGAGCCGGTTGGGATTCTGTGTGCAGACAGGAAGGGGAGTTGCAGTTAGGGCCGAGGGAGCAGCAGGAAGCAGGCGGCCCGCTTTGGCCTCCTCCACGTCAGCCCACCGCCATCACGGTGCAGGAATTTATTCTAGAGCAAGAGCCTTTCACAGACCAGTTTTTAAGCAGGGCTGGCCCGTTAGCACACTGCAGTCCATCCGTGAGTGTACTTTGGTTGCTCTGGGACCTTATTGAAGTTGTACTCTAGCAAGAAGAGGTTCGTTATATTTGTATTATACCAAAATACCTGTAATGTGGCCTACTGTTCTAGATGCGTGTTTCTTTTCCTCTGGGTCACCTAATTGCCATGTTAATAAATGCTGTCCTCTGTAAAGAATTGTAAAACCGGGCTGAGAATTTAGCTCAGCGGCATAAGCACCTGCCTTGCAAGCAGGCAGTCGTGAGTTGGATCCCTGGTACCGATAAAAAGGAAAAGGACAAAAAAAAAAAAAAAAGAATTGTAAAACCTCCTCTAACTGATATGTTAACCATTGTTGCCCTCTACAAATAACAGATGTGGTGCTAAAATAAGCTAGCAGGGGTTGTTAATTACTGCTAGACTGCTCTGTCCTCTCCTGAGGAAAACAAAGGTCTTCATCATTAACAGTTTTCCTGATAAATTGTGATATGTACTTAAAGGTGGCTAGTGTAGAGGAGCAACACACACAGCTTTTGCAGTCTCCAGCTGCGCTGTGTCGCTGGGCTCAGGGTAAAATAAATCAGCGCTTGCCTCATTTTTGAACTCGAGTTTGGGGACTTGTTTGTGGATTACGAGAACTGACTCAGACAGCTTGGACGTTTCAACTGCAGCTGTGTCAGGCATGGGTCCTCTGATTGACCTTCTGCTCCTGGTCCCCTTCCCAGGTTGTCTCTGAGTCCTTCGGACACACCCACAGCAGTTTTGCACACTTCCGCTGTTGTATAACCCTGTGATTCAGATGTCCCTTTCTCTGTGCTGGCTGAACTGAGGTTTAAATCGCTGTCCAGACTAACAATGTCACGTGCTGTTCTAAGGCCCTGTGTAGATGCTGGAGTGTTCCCTGTTCCTGGGTTGTTTGTTCCTCTGGCTTCTCTAAATGCACAGATTAAAACAGGTTTTTAAAGAAAAAAGTCACCTATTTGTACGTGTTATCTCCTTAACCGCTTCTTACTTACTTTTCCTTTTTTATGTCTGCATCTTTGTTGTTTATGATGAAAGTCTTGCTACCAATGGTGTCATAGTTACTGCTTTTGCTTTGTGATAAAGTCACAGCATGCCACAGTCCAAGGAAAACAATGCCCTTACAACTAGCGTTGTTACTGTCCATAGAGCTATCAACAGAGGGTAGGACTTCTTTCATTTGTCTCTGTTCTATCAGTAGACACCAGAAGTTTACTGTCATCATAATATGTTTAAAAAGCTTAAAACAAATTTTCTTTAATCCAACAGACTGAGTTAAGTTTGTTTGATTTTGGTTTGAATTTCTATAAATAGTTTTAAATTTTTATTATGTAGCTATATATATAAACACACACACACACACACACACACACACACACACACACACACACACTTTCGGTTTTTTTTTTTTTTTTTTTTTGGTAACGGGAATGGAATTCATGACCTTGTACTTGCCGGGCAGATACTTATACCACTGAGCTAAATCCCCAGGCCAACACACACATTTTCATGGTCACAAGATAAAATAATATGTATTCAATGATCTCCAGCTTTTTTCTCTGTCTCTCCACCCAGAAACACCTTTTTTCTAAAAATAATCATGTCTGGCTGGGTGTGGTGGCACAGGCCTGCAATCACAGCCTTGGGGTTGCTGAGGCTGGGGGGTGGCCATGACTTCAAGGCCAGCCTGGGCTACGTAGCAAGACCTTGTCTCAAAAACCCAAAATCCAGCAAAAGAAACAAAAAATGACATTTTATTTCAAAGTTGTTTCCATTCTTTAACCTACGTGCAAAATATGTTTCTGTTTTGAGCTTTCTTGAACCAGAAGCAACTTATCACAGTGTTTCTGGCACTGGGTACACTCTGGAATGGGTGGGCAGGATTTCCCTACTTCCTGCCCTGGCTATTAAGGCTCCTGTTTTGGAGGAACCTGTTCAAGAACATTCGAGCTGTTTACAATCTTTCCCACGTCCCATTTCCAACAGCTGCATTCAGTAACCTTCAGCATTTAGCTATTTGCACTTCTCCAAATTTTGTGGCGTAGTGTTCAAAGTGGGCTCACTGGGTCAAACACATGTAGAGATTTCATGCAGACTGTTTAATTTCCCAAGCATGGTTTTTAATCATTTTTCTATTGGCAGCAGCTTAATATGTAAAATGCCATTTTCTACAATTTCACCCATAAATTAGATTTTGCAGTTTTCCCAACTACAATAGCTGAGAAGTTGGATCTTAGTGTAGTTTCTAATTTAACTTCTCTTAATAGGTGGAGCATGTTTTCGTATATTTCATATATTTCAGAAATTTTAATGCCTCTTCTTTTTGTCCAGCTTAATTTTATTACTATGCTCTCCTCTCCGGTGTCTCACCCTCTGAAGTCCAGGGGGAACGTTCTGTGTTGAAGAGCGGGATCCCCGGCTGCAGTGCGCACTCCTTGCAAGGCATTCCCGCCCGCTGTCCTCACAGGAGGGCCCTGGAGGAAAGTTTCACTGAGCTGCGGATTCTCTGCCGTATCTGGTCACACACAATGCTCAGCTCACTGCCTTTCAGGTTTACCTGAAACTATGAACCCGGAGGGAACAAGAAGGACCGTAGTCAGCACTGACTGTCCTATAATGACAGGAATGAACACTTGTGGCAGAACACCAGGGACATTACAGACATGCAATGCACACTTCCCTGTAACGTATACTGGGCTGTGGCGGACCGCCCAGCAGTTCTTGGCTGCCGTGTCTTCGGTGAGCGGAGTCCCTGGTGTGGAAGAAGCAGGCTGCGGAGTCACAGTGAGATGTCCGCTCCTCTTGGCATAAGGCCAGCCTCCTGTACCATGCTCACCAGCAGGGGTCACATCTGAGCGCATCCAGCCTGGCCAGCTGCCTCAGGGGACCTCAGTAGCCACCCCAGTGCCCTGAGCCAGGAGAGCAGGAGGCTCAGGCCACCTCAGTTTCCCTCTTTCTGTAGCCCCGCAGAGCCAACAGAGGCACTGAAAAGGTCTTCTTTTGCAAGGAGAGCTTTCACATCACTTGCCACAATGTCCAGGAAATAATTTTGTAAATAAAATGTCTTTGTAAATTGAAGGCCGGTGGCAATGGGTCCTCCGGTGACTAAAAGAACCATCTCAACCATCTGCTTTGTCTTCTCCCAGAAGGACTCATCGCTCTCGGCTGACAGCAAGTCTGGAGACTGCAGGTTTGCCTTGAGGTCCTCCAGGGACACGTGCAAATCCTGGGCCATCTTTTCTAGGGATTCGTCATCCACCCCAAAGTGGGACCTGTACAGGCTCAGGGTGTCCTCCAGCTTCTTTCTTTCACTGTCACTGAAGAGGCCCACGAGAGGGACGGCGGCCCACGCTCCGGCCTTCAGGGCCTCCAGCCAGATCTTCTGCTTCAGGGAATCTCTCTTCCCATTGACGGCGGCTTCCGTAACGCTGGACAGGCGCTGCATGAAGGCGTGACGCTTGTGGGCAGGCAGGTCCCTCACGAGGGTGCTCTGCAACTCAGGGAAGTCGTAGGCACACACATCAAGGCTGGAGACCAAGAAGATCTTATCGGCTACCACCCTGGCCTCCTGCAACTGTGCCAGACCGCAATTTCGGATCTCTTGCAGGACCTTGTCCTTATCAAAGGTCAGTGGCCGCGCTTTTTGACAACTGACTAAAGCATTATCAATTTTCGTCTGAATAAAGTACACCTTCTTCTTGATTTGTGCAATAGCTTTAGCCAACTCTATATCGTTGCATTTGAGGCGGGTAGCAAAGATGATAAAGAAGAGGTCGCAATCAGGAATTTCCTTCAGATACTCCTGCAGTGGGAAGTTAGGGCGCCCGAGGCCGGGCAGGTCCCACAGTGTCACCCCCGGGCACTTTGAAGAGTGTACGCAGTTGCCTGCAGGGTTGTCGCCATGGGCCCCGTGGGAGCCACACCTTCCTCTTCATCCCACGTCCCCCGCAGGGCATTGATGAAAGTGGACATTCCTGCTCCACTCTCCCCTGTCACTGCGATGCTCAGGGGCTCATTCTCCATGTCTTCCAGGGCAGCTTTGATTGCAGAAGCCGCTTCCCGAAGGTTCCCCTGCTCCAGATGTGAGCGAATGAAACCCCAGGCTTGCTGTGAGGAGGTTTGGCTCTTCATCTTCAAATTTTTACAAACCGTGCAAAGGCTGTAACAAGCAGAAGTGGCGTCCTCTATGTAGATGGTGTGCAGGAGGAGGACCTGGGGGTGCCAAAGGCACTGGCGGGAGCTGCAGGGGAAGGTCAGGGGTTAGCACAGCAGGGAGGCCTTGGGCTTCCTCTTAGATCCCCACAGAGCCTCCCCCCACCACCTTCCCTGGGTCCCCAGGCCTGGCCTGCACCTCTAGGCCAGGTGCAGATTTGGCCCCGCCCCAGGCTCATTCAAAGCCTGGACTGCCTGCTCCTTCAGGAACCCTTCACTTTTCAAGGTCTGATGTCCTGTGGAAACATCTGTGTCTCCTACTAGTTATATTGTTTTAGCTGTTTTCGTTGTTAGGAAAATAACTGCATGCGGTGGCCATCTAAAAGGTAGCGGCTGAGCACCACGTCCCTCTGCTGTGTGAAGGTGACGCCTGGCTGCATGGCTGACCCTAAAGCTACAATGGTCACGCCAGTGTGGTGCTTGTGAAAGAACAGACAGGTACCGAGTGGAGCAAGGCACAGAATCAGCGTAACTCACAGGAGCGCAGTCAAGGGAGCTTAGACAAGAGGCGAAGGCAACCCAGAGGACCAAGGGTTCCCTCTGGAAGCAGCGCTGGCCCAGGCCGGCCCTGTGATCCGGAGCTCACACCCTTCACAGAACTGAACCTAAGTTGGGTATGGACCTAAATGTAACAGGCAAAACCACAGAAATCCAAGAAGGCAACAAGACAAAACCCGTAGGACCCAGGAGGAGGTGGGTAAAAAAAAGAACAGAAAAGATAAACATGAAAAAATCAACAAGGTGCACTTCGTTAAAATTTAAGAGTTTTCACTGTGTAATGCAGTAGCAAGGGAGCGAAGACAGTCTGCGGACTGGCCAAAAAGTGTCTGCAAAAACCCACGTGTGGCAGTGCACATCTGTGATCCCAGTAGGCTGAGAGGCAGAGGCAGGAGGGCCACGATGCAGGACTAGCCTGGCACACTTAGCCGGGGCACAGCTCAGCGCGAAGGGTCTGGAGCCAGCCGGGCCGTGTTTCAAGAAAAACAGTTACAAGCGACCTGCAATAGTATAACTCAAACTGTGCCGCAGACTCTTAAAGCCGGACAATAAGAAAACAAACAATGCTATGAAAAAGGAGCCGAAACCTTAGCAGACCCCTCACCGAGAAGACACTGAGATGGACGCAGGCATGAGCTTCTAGAAAAGGCAACATTATGAAACATTTGAAAACTCAGGGATTGTCAGGGGCTGAAGGCTGGCATGCGAAGGCCCAGCACAAAGGACTTTAGACGAGAGACAGCTGGTGTGACCACACATTTGGCTCCGTATGTTTGTCCACCCGTCGGCAACTGGCTCCGAGAGCCAGTCTGAGCTCCCATTGGGCCGCTGAGGCTTCGTCATGGTGGGCCCCTCTGCTGTACTCCGGAGGAGGACGCGGACAGTGTCTCTGCAGAAGCCTCTGCAGAGTCTACAAATATTTTTTCTAAAATGAAAAGTATTCTAAACAATAGAGGTATGAACAGAAAGAAAGGAAAACATGGGGATTATTTGCTTGGGGTTTTCTAGGAGCCAGCCTGCCTCCTCTGGAGAGCCCTCACCAAAGGTAGCCAGGCAGAGAGGGAAGCTGCTGGGCCTGTCAGGGCAGAGGGAGTCACAGGAGAGGAGAGGTGTGAGCAAAGGCTGCAGGAGGGGCTAGAAGGGGTCCTGCCACATGCAGCTAGCTAAGGAGGCCTTGTCACCTCCCCGGAGGCAGTGGCTTGTCCTGGTTCTACAGCCTGGGCCTGATAATGGAAGAATCATTCCTTTAAGACAATGTACCAAGAAAGATATGCCCAGGACTAAATATAATGAGCGAGGTACAAGACCTGCACCTCACAGAGAGCAAGCACAGAATTTTTAGGCCAGGACCTAAGAAACCTCAAGTCAAGTTGACATCCGGGCAGCACTCAGGCTGAAGTAGTGCCTCTGGCTGCAAGTCTGGGACTGGGCACGTCCTTCCAGGGCCTCCTGGAAGTCACCTGCTGCAGCCCAGAGGGCAGGAGTAGCAAGGACACTCCGAGAAATAACTGTTCCGGGCACGAATACAAGATCTGGTTTAGCGTCCGTGACCAGGGATGCAAGCTTACTCTGTGGAGGTGGAAGTGAGGAGGCCTGATGTCACCAGGCAGCAGGGATGCAGTAGCCACGAATGAGCCAACTGTCAGCGCTTCTGCCTACACATCGGGGGTCTCTCACGGAATGGGAGGGGAACTCTGAGTGCTGGCAGCTGCATGGCCAACACATTCTGGTGGGAAAGCAGCTCCCCGCCCCGCACCCTGCAGCTCCTCTGAAAACAGAATCCCAAAACACAGAGTCAGATAGCCGGACAGTTAGAGAGCAGTGTCCAGCCAGGGCCTCAGTGAGGACCGGGCTAGCGAGACCTCAGCCTCGGGGCATCACCTTGTGCATTTCTAGAGGTGTCAGGGTGGGGTCACCTCAGAGGGCTTGGAAGTGTCTGCTGAGACTGGTGCTGAGCACATAAGGGAGCGGGGACCAAGTGACAGGAATGGGAGAGAACAGGTGAGGACATACAAATCTGTGGCTTCAGCAAATTCCGAGCACACAGAGCCACGCCTGATGTCCAAGTGCCACACAGAGCCATACGCTGTGCCTGGACCTCTGTTAAATGTTAGTTTCTGCTCCACAATTAAGGTGCCATAGCCAGGGCAAAGCACTCCCCAGGATTCCTGGGGCCTCGATGTAGAGCGGTTAGGAGTGTCAGCCGGGTGTGAGCAGGAGAGAAGTGGGAGGGAGGGAGGCACACCACAGTCAGCCTTGCTCAGATAAACCTCAGGAGTGTGTGCACACGTGCACACAATTCCTCATCTCACCCTAGTGGCTGGACAGACGCTAATGATTTTCGCCTTCAGCTCAGGGCTCAAAGATACTGAGTGGTGGGAGGCAACCACAGACTGACCCTTAGTTGTTGGGAGCCGCAGCCCCGAGCCCGGTCGCCTCACTTGGCGGACGTGAGGCCTGTAGTAAAGAGTAAAGCCTGAGGTAGATTACCCCTCCCATCGAGCACGTTAGTTTCCTGCTTACCGCGTAAGCAACCCGCTCAACAATATAGTCTGCCTGGCAACTGATGATGTTAGCCAATCAGCTTGCCTTGCTTACTTTAACATGATTGGACACTGTATCCGTATATATACTGGTGCCACCCCTGGGGGGGAAGAAGAAGCCCGGAAGTAGAAGCCCAGAAGGAGCCGCGGGGAGCGGACCAAAGGAGGCTTCGGCTGGGAGCGATCCCAGGGCAGGCTGTACGGAGAAGGAAAATAAAAGAAAAGGTTGTCCACTGCCAGACTTTGTCGTGTGTCCTTCCTGCCGGCCAGGAGCGACATCGACACTTAGTAAGTGTCTGGCCTGGGATTCAAGGCCAATCAGGCCTCCTGCAAGCTCAGAGCTCTTTGCAGAGGCACAGCACACACACACACACACACGATTTGGTGAGGACGGGAGTCCCCGAGGCCCAGAGTGAAGACGGCCGGGGTCTGCACCCCTCTGTCTGGAGGACAGCCCTTGTCTCCCAACGGGAAGTGTTCAGGTGCCTAGATGGCCGTGTGAGGCTGGAGTCTCAGTAGAGGACCCTTCTCACGGCCACTGCTGTTTGTCACGTGACCTTTCTGCAGTGCAAAGGGCAGCCTGACAGGCCTCTGGAAACATCCAAAGTATTAAAACTCTCGGCTTGGTTCATGGCTGTTCCCCTATCCCCCTCCTCACCCTTCTGAGTTCATAACGCCTGGAAGCAAGAGTCCAGGTTCTGCCCCCTTCAGACTTACTGATCTCCAGTTCTATTTTTAAAGCATGTATTAATTCCAAAATATTTTCTCACTCACCAGGTCCTTGGAGAAAACAGGTTTGTGGTGTCAGAGTGGAGCTCTTCTGTATATCCCCTAGAAGAGCTGAATGTGCGGGGTGTGGTGAAGCCCTGCTGTCCACACCTGTCCTCCCTGGGCAGTGCAGGTCAGGGCCAGGCTCAGCACACAGGAAAACTGCACCTTGAGTGAGGAGCTGAGGACTGAAACCTCCCCAGGCTCTGCCCTCCTCAGGCAGGAATCTGAGCAGCAGCAGGGCAGGGAGGAGCCCAGAGCTCAGGGCCCTGACCCTGCAGGGACAGGAAAGTGAAACTGAAGGTGCTCTTCCCAGAAGCAGGGCCACTGCCAGGCAGGGGAAGTGAGAGGCACCCTGGTTATTCTTTCTCATCGTTTTTCGGGGACTGGGGAGGACTGCTGTGTGGGGAGAGAACAGGGCGTCCCAGGGCCTGGGCACAGGTCCCTATGAGCAGACTCCAGCTTTGGCCAGGCAGGAGCTGAGCCAGACTCACAGAAGGGGGCTGAGCCCTGGACTGACACCACTCAGGGCTCCCTGTGAGCTCCCACAGACCAGACTCCATGGCAGCGAGGCCCAGGCAGAAACAGGGGTGGGCCATGTCCCTGTCCCTGGCAGAGAGTTGGCACTGGAGTTTCCTGTTCAAGGACTGTCTCTGTTAACCTACTGTGGACTCCCAGCAGAACTTGGGACTCTAGGCAGGAACAGATAACAAGGAGCTCAAATCCAAATTTGCACTAGAAGAACTCACAGAAAGCAAAGAGGCTGCTGTGTGTGCCCAGAGAGGGCTCATAGGGGCAGGGTCTGGGGACACAGAGCTCCACAGCCTCTCCCATGGGTGCAGACTTGTTGGCCCACAACCTATGGATGCATTCATAACTCACAGAGTCTTAGGGGCCTTGGCATCCAGGGACTCTGCTGGGTCTCATTTAGGGTCTCACTGGGTGCCACCATTGGTTACCTCACTGGCCATGGGATTCATGTCAGTCTCTGTCCCCTGTCCAATGCAGAGATGAACCTGATGACTTTATATTAAGTGAAGGGAGCCTCACGTGAAAAGAAAATATTTCATGGTGTCACTTACGGGTGGAATCTGAAACAAGAGTCAAACTGAGAGATAAACAAAGTGAACACAGACATTCTGAGGGTGGCCCAGCCAGAGGACGGTGGGTCCATGCTCTGTGCCCCTTAGTTATATCCCAGGGGATGGCCTGGCTGAAGGACAGTGGATCTCTGCACTCCTCCATTACATCCTGGAGGGTGACCCAGCTGAGAGACCGGAGTCCATGTTCTGCTCCCCTCCATCCCATCCCACAGGGAGGCCTGGCTGGAAGGCAGTGAGTTTGCAATCTGAGCGTCATCCGTTGCATCCCAGAGGGGAGGCCATTTGCAAGAGTGTAAGACTGATGGGAACCCCAGGACCCAGGACCACAGCCTGGCACAGAATGCACACACACCTCTGGAGGACAAGTGATGAGAGAAGCCAGTAATGTGGAATCAGCAGTGAGGAGGCAGCAGTTGGACTCTGGAGACCTCTACCAATGGACACCAGTCCCAGCCCCACATCCAGAGGCTGAGATCAGCTCCACACCCAGCACATCTCCGGAATGTAACGTGGACATCACTTCAGAATAGTAAACACCAGAAGAAGAAACTGAACACAGATGCCCCTGTGAGCCTGCCAGCCACCAACGGGGCCCAGTACCAGCACTGGCTGGGAGAACCAGCCGGCCAGCTTGTGCATGCCAGCTGCTATTGAGGGAGCCTCAGTGTAGCTGTCTATGTATGGGGAAGCCGGGGCCTCCCTGGGAACCTAGGTAAGGAGAAACCCAGCTGCATGGCCCACCCTTCTGCACTGTGGATGACAGCCAACGTGGGGAGCCTGAGACCCACAACTGCTTCATCAGCAGGAACTCAGGAAAATGCCAAGACGAAAGAGCAAAGGAGGTCTCAGACCTCCGAGCCTCAGAGAACAATTCCATGAGACACAGAAACAGAAGAAGCTGAAAGTCACACTCCTGTAATTTCTGAAGAGATGGCAACTGAAATAAAGAACAATTTCATGAGGCTCTGAATGTAATCAGAAAAATAACATCTCAGGTAAATCAACAAATAACAAACACAGTGAAGGAAATGCTGGGCATATCTAAAGAAGACCTAGATAACAAGAGGAGCCCTGGAAAGTGAAGGAAACCTTGAATGAACAACATTGGAAAGGAATTACAGTGCGGGAAACAGATTCACAGAGAGATCCAGGAAACTAAAACTTCCATTAACAGCTGGCTAAAATGCCTGAAAGAAACTGAAGAGAGACTTTCAGATCTTGAAGACAGGATGGCAGCTGGTGATCACAAAAGAAAGATCTCTTAAAAATTCCAAGGAACCTGCAAATAACAATTCAACGGCTGCAAGATGATAGAAAGAAAAATATTTTATGAAGGGTAGGTGTCGGCAAAAAAGCAGTCAATATAAATGACATTAAAAGGCTATTTACGGAAGTAATGCAGAAAACTTGTAATGCATGGGGAAAGGATCTGACACGCAGCTAAGTGAGCCATGTAGAACTCCAACTAGCCATAACCAAAATAAATCTACACCCAGACATACAACAGGTGGACAGGTGAGGACAGGTGTGGGCAGCAGGGCTTCACCACACCCAGCACATTCAGCTCTTCCAGTGGATATATACAAGAGCTCAACTCTGACAGCAGAAACCTGTTTTCTCCAAGAACCTGGTGAGTGAGAAAAAATTTTGGAATTACTGGAGACCTAAGAATAGGTAGCTCAGTGGCTGTGAGGGGGGAAAAACTGTTTGCTCAGTTTGGGCTGTAAGGGGTACGCAAGCTGAGGAGGGGTGGTGCGTGGACAGCTATAAACCACACAGACAGTGCAAGCATTCGGATACTGTCAGGCAGCGGTCACAGATAGGCTTTTCCCTTGCACTGCTGAAGGACCCTGTGAAAGACAGTGGCAGGGCCAGCCCCGAGAACCTCTGGCAGCACACATCCCCGACTCACACCTAGACACTCAATCAGAGCACAGGGCTCTCATCAAACCAGAGGTGCTGAGGGGTCCGTGTTTTCTACTCCAATACCTGGATGGACCTCTCCCCACCAAATGCTGGCCTTGGCCTTTGGCTCTTACTAAAGAGCTCTGCACTTGGGGGGACTTTCCCTTGGATTCCAGCCCTGACCTTGGTTTGCTAAGGATTAGATCACAGTTAGGACACAACCTGTCAGAGTCCTTGAGCCTTCCTGTGACTGGGAGGACCCTTAGAATGGTCTTGCACAGCCACCAGGACGCCAGGAGGATTTATGAATGGATATCCACTCAAGGACCTTAATAAATCCTCCTCCCCCTCTCCCCAGTCTCTCTCCACCTCACACTCCGTGAGTGCATCTGAATGGCTCTAGGACGAGGGGACAGGCACCTTGGGAAGGGCTCTGCCCAGCTGCCACAAGTTGACTGTTGAGAAGGAAGTAGTCATAAGCACTGTGAAATGATGTGGGAGAGAGCACAGCAGCATGGGTGTTGTGTGGCTGACATTCGCACAGGGGCAGAATTGGATGTCCACCTCTGTTTCCTCCAGTTCCTGGCACTGGACCCCCACTCTCCCTGTCTGCTCAGTTCTTCAGGACCAGTCTCTGCACACACGCCCGTGCCCTCCCATGTGTCCTCCCCACTGACATCCCCTGGAAATGCCCAGCACTGAGCCAACATGTGTCGTGGCTGAGGTGCCCCTAGTCGGTTCCCCTTTGGTTGCGTGTGGCTGTCCAGCTCCCGGGCTTGCTGGCTGTATACTGCAAAACACTTTATTTCTCAAAGGAGCTCCAGGGAAATGCTTTACACATAGCAAGGAGAGGCCCCTGTAGCTGCCAGCTGGCAAGGTCTCCCCTCTTGTTTACGTGAAGAGGAGCCTGTGGCACCAACTCTATGTCCCTTAGTGGCTAAGCCGTCACTCAGCCACCTGGTGACACCAGGGCTTCCCCAGTCCCCTTGCATAGAAAATGCTTCCATCCATTGCCGTAGACACCAAACTACATCCTATGTACCTTCCCACTGTGTCTTTTTTCTAGAGTCCTGGACTGCTCACAGCCATGGGCCAACTGTTTTCCGCAGACTCCAGCACAGAGAGTAAGACCTTAGCCTCCAGCTTCAGCGAGTATTTTAAAAATTTCAAGCAGGAAAGCAAAGTCCTCTCAGAGGAAGCCAGCAGGTTGATTGAGTACTTTCTGGAGAAGGGGGACATTCCAAAAGCAGTTTCTATAGTTAGCTCTGCTTCGAAAGACATCGATAAATCTCCACTGAGCATAGAATTGACAGGGGAGAGTGGAACAGGAAAGTCCACTCTGATCAATGCCCTGCGGGACATGGGGAATGAAGAGGAAGGTTCTGCTCAAACTGGGCCAACTGAGACCACCATGGAGAGAACAGCATACAAACAGCCAAAGGTTTCCCAGTGTGTCAGTATGGGACCAGCCTGGCCTGGGGACCACCAACTGCCCTCCAGAAACTTACCTGCAGAAAGAGAAGTTTGCTGAATATGACTTTTTCCTGATCTTTTCTGAAAGAATATTGCCCCAGATGGGACACTGTAGCCTGTGAAGCTTTGGAGGCACAACAGGGGGCTCTATCTTGAGGTCACCTTTTCTTGCCCCTAGGCAATTTCCCTGTGGAGCCAAACGAATACCAATGGGCTCCCGTGCATCACTAATGCCCTTTAGGCACCACCCCTCTCCTAAGCTACATGTGTGCCCCCACACCTTGTGTCCCTCAGAGAGAATGCCAGACCCTGGAGAGTCAGGGGGTCACTCCCCACATTCTTAAAATAAAGGTCATTTTTATTTCATACTTCTTATCTTTTCAGGCACGCCGAAAATCCTATCAGATGGTTCCGTTCTGCGCCCAAAATTCTTTTTTTTTTTTTTAATTTAAAGAAAAGGAAACAAAAGAATACATGGAGATTTTAAAAAAGGGTAGAAATGATACAAACTTACAGAAAAACAAACGGTAAGAAATTGCTGGTTGATAAGTTACACATTGTCATCTTAGAAGTAGCTGTTCATGTTATGGAATTAAAGCATTTAGAATGACATTCATAAAGTGACACTACAAACCCTTCTACTCTATGATCGAACAAGAGCTCAGTAACATGGTTATCAGTCCTACACATTTGTTTTACTTCTCAAAGAGGGTAAGATTAAACATATCAAAACAGAACATAGCAGTTAAAAAAACAATTTAAAGAAACACAGATTTCGTAGCAGGCCCACTGGAGATCTTGATTGTCTATCTAACTGTCTCTAGTTTCTTACAAATAGTTGTCCCCATCTTCACCCACCTTATATACTTGTGTATATAAGTGTATATTATAGAACTAATCAAATCATTGAAGACTTTTTAGGTCCTCAAGTATCAAATTAGGGAAGACAATAGTAACTACCAACGCATCTCTCCTTCTCTTTGTGATAGCTGTCCCCATCTCTACATATGCTGAAATTGAACTCAAGAAACCAGTCCAATGTCATTCTAATCAGCAAACATTAGTATTGCTAGAATTTCTCTCATAATGCTACTAAATTAGCCTTGGGTTTCTTAGCATCTCTTCCTCAGAGTATCTGTTCATTACATCTTACATTATATAATCTGTTCCCATAAATAATTAAAAAGAAAAAAAGAACCCATGTGTGAATTTCTACATATATATCTATCCTCTCTGTGTTATAGGGAAAACCAAGTCATAGCAAGACAGCAAAACAATTTTCTAGAAAAACATGCAATGGATAAAACATATAAGACCACAATATAGATGATCTTCCATAGTTACTATGTTTCCTCTTGTTATTTTCAATAGATTTGACCACCACACTGGCTTATTATAGTTAAATATAGTATCACCTATTTTTATAAAAACTTAACTTTGGCAGCATTGTAGGATTTGGAAGCTGTTACTAATTAATACCAGTATGGATATTCTTTACATCTTGTAATCCTCAGAGTAGTTGCCTCTACTTTTAGGGTTGATACTGACAAGCATACCAATTTCAAATAAAATCAGCCAAGGCCAACCCATAGTCTTACGATTCAGATTCAATTAAGATCAGTCATAGTAAGACAATGTAAGTATTATAGGATTTCAGTTTAAGTTAATAGGAAAGTAAGGATAGTTACCATGGTATAACCTGCTATTTTTGGGTCAAGATGTCTGTGTCCTCAAATCTGACATGAGTGGACAGACCAGAACAAATTAAATTCAATCTAAATATAGCACTAGGACTACGGTGTCTTTTAAATCGTTATACACCATTAGCAATGACCTCTGCTTTTTTTTTTAAAAATATAGTTTCAGAGCTGTCTATACTAAAGACTAGCTTACCGTCTCTGCCTCATGTCTGCTACTCCACTTTTCTGCTATAATTTGTCCACCTTATTCCCTCATTCCACTGTCTGCCCCGTTCACTGAGGCCTCTCTGCCACTGTTGCTGGAATCCTGGTATCTCTTCCTCTCTTTCTCTGTAATGTCCTTCAGCGCTCTCTGTAGAGTTGGACTGGTGGCCACGAACTCCCACAGTTCCTCCTTGTCTTGAAAGTATCTTATTTCTTCATTAATTTTTAGAGAGAGTTTTGATGGATATATGAACTTTGGTTGCATACATTTTTCTTTCAGGACTTGGACTATTTCTCCCCACTCCCTTCTTGACTTAAGAGTTTGTGTTGATAAGTCTGCTGTTCTTTTGATAGATTTCCCGTTATAGGTAACCTGCATCTTTTCTCTGGCTGCTTTTAATATTCTGTTTTTTTGGTGGATTTCTGGGATCTCGATTATTATATGTCTAGGCATAGATCTGTTTTGGTTGTAGGTAGCTGGTGTTCTGTATGCTTCTTTTATCTGGATATCATTTCTTTTTGCTATACATGGGAAATTTTGCTTTAATATATCTGTGAATATTTTTTTGTATTTCATTTTTGGATGTTCCTGCTTCCTCACTCACATTCTTTATTCTTAGGTTATGTATCTTTTTGTCATCTTCCAGTTTTAGAATTGCTTCTTTCTGGTCCCTTGTTATTTTTAAGAGGCTTTTTCTTTCACGTTCATATGTCCTAAATCTCTCTTCAAGTTTCAGAAGGCTGTCTTTAGTTTCTGTCAAGGCATTTTGCCAATGTTCAATGGAGTTTTTAGTTTCCTGATATTCTCTTTGGATCTGTTTCATGTATTCTAAGTTACGCTTAAATTCTTCTTCAGATGCTTCTCTTTCTTTTCTGATTTCCTCAGTTCTTCCATCTGTGTTCTCTTGGGCGGGGCTTGTCATTTCTTTAATTAATCTCTTTATATCTTGCCTCACTTGGATCAGGAGTTTAAATTCCTCTATGAGATCATGTAGGTACTTTTTAATTTCGGCTGATGCTGTCGAGTATTGGATGGTTACTGTGCTTGTTCTCTTCAGTGTTTAGTTCTCTTGGGTTTATTTTCTCCTGTTGAACAGCTGGAGATTTTTTTTTATTTTTATCTCTTGTCATGTTTCTGGTTTCTTTCAGACTGTCCTGGAGTTCTCTGGCCCTCTCCGAATTGCTTAGGCCCTTTCAGAAGCGTGCTGGCTTGAGTTTTTGCTGTCCTCCCCAATTTGCTGTTATCTGGGGTAGACTGGGCTGCAGGGGCAGTACAGGCTAGTCTCTAGCCTCTGTGCCAGTTAGTTCCTAAATTAGGCTGTACTTTCTGGTTGTCACTGAGTTGTGACTATTTTGTATCTGCTCATTGGGCCCCAAGCAGAGGCTTGGGTTAGCCCCAGTATCTCCTGCCAGTTCTCTTTGTACCAGAAGCAGCTGACTAATGTCACTATGGCACAGGGTCCTGCCCAAATCTCAGCTGTTCTCTTCCAGACCTCTCTGTGTCAGGAGCACCAGCACAGCAGAACTGCCCAAACTCAAGATGTCTCCCACCAGTTCTCTGTATGAGGCTGAAGCCAACATGTACTCAGGCTCTGCTCAATTCCAAGATGCCTTCCACTAGCCCTCCCTACAGGGGGCTCAGTGACGCCACTGAGCTGTAGGTTCTGCCCAACTGTAAAATGGCTGCCACCAGACTCTGTGTTATTGATGTCCCCATGGTGGCGGGCACTGTCCCATTCCAAGATGTTCTCTGGCCAACCCCAGCAGTCGCAGGGTCCCCAGTACTCACCAGGGTCCACGCCGCCCACCTTTCCCACGCTCCCGGCACAGTGCGGATGGGTCAGAAATCCGCACAGCGTGCACACCCGGTACAGCGGAGAACGGCCAGAAATCCACGCAGCGCCTGGTACAGTGCGGAGTGGTCAGAAATCCGCGCTGCGTGTACTCCCCGTACGGCGTGGAAGGGTCAGAAACCCGCCCAGCGTGCACTCCCGGCACAGTGCGGAGCAGCGTTTGGCTTTGGAGCTCGAGAGTCTTTCACAATCTCCTCTGGTGTAGCGGGGCAGTCAAAAGCCAACACAGCTTTTCCTGTTGGGTCCATGGGTTAAATTGTTGATTTAAAGGCGCGGGATTTGCAGCTTCCCGTTTTCAGCCTTCACAGTCTCAGCACGACTTTAAATCCTCCAGCTGCACTGTCTTGGTTAATAAGAATCGTTATCCATTTGTCTGGCCCTCTCCATGTTGTCATATTCTAGCTTCTAATATGATTTCTCCAGAGAGACTTTCTGCCCGATCCTCTAGCTAGCCGCCATTTTCTCAATACCCGCGCCCAAAATTCTATCATCCAGTGCCTATTTGGGTCTCATAATGACCACACCAAAAAGCTGCCCCTGGACCTACCACGTGCAGGGTTCCAATCTTAACCTTAGTGTGTTAGTCTAATGCAATCTCAGACACTGGACCTAAAGATGCCCAGTGGGCAGCTGAAGCTTGGCACCTCTGCCTTCATTGTTCCCTCTACGTGACTACTTTAAAACTTTGGGTCAGAGCCCTGCTTGGCCCTGCATGTAGACGCACTGAATACTTAAGGAGTGTCTCTAATACGAGGAGTGTTAGCCCTGAATTTATCAAGCCTGTCTCCCTCCTTCACTATTGAAGACACCATGGTGAGAGTAACTGAAATAATCATTTCCAGGGATGGTTGGGACACCCAATTCCAATGCCCAGTTCCAGGGCCAGCGATGACAAAGCTCCAGCCACTGTCCTAAATGTGCAGTCATCTCGAATATCTGGAACCTTGTGGGCCACGCTGTGATGAGACCACTGTCTCCTAGCTGGAGCAGCTACTTGGTGAGCGCTGTGCCCTCCGCTCCCCATGTGTGAGCAAGTACCTCACGGCCCCTCAAGCCACAGGATTTGTCTACTAGTGCAGAACCAAGATGGAAGTACCGAGCAGCCGGATCCCAGCCCTCCACAGCTCAGTGAACACTCATTCCCATTTTTTCTGATTTTCTGAGGTCTGTATTGCCTTCAGTTCTCCAGACTGAAGTCTTTTTCTCTCTTCTCTTCCTTTCTTTTAGGAAGGGCCAGGCTTGATCTCTATCAACTCCTGAAGCTAAAGTCACTTGCCAGTTTCTCTTGCTCTCCAATTAAAATGTGTTCCTACAAATTCTTGCTGGTTGCAAGCTTTAAGGTCTCTGCACTAGCTGGGGGCATTGGGAGTAGCCCAAGAGTGTAGGTAATGCAGCCAACCATCATGAAGACAGCAGTGGCAGGCCTTTTGCCAAGGAGGAATGCTGGTCCAGAGCCTCTCAGGTGCTGGAATGGACAGCAGGGAGTGAGCAGAAGACCAGTGAGAGAAGCTTAATCTGTATTCCCAGCCACTACTCCGTGGTCTCATCACTGCCTGAGCTCCACCTCCTGTCGGTTTGGAGCAGCGTTACATTCTCTGGGAGCTAAAACCATGACGGTGCACACAGGAAATCTGGGTTATGTGCTCCTTATGCAAATCTAATACCAAAGCCATCTCTCCCCATCTTTCACCACATCCACAAAAAAATTGTCTTCCATTGCTTTTGCAAAAAGCAATTGCAATTGCAATTGCAAAACCATTGCTTTTTCCAAAAAAGGCTGAGGACCCCTGCTTTGAGGCCCAAGCTCATTCCAGTCCTGTGTCCAGTGGTCAAAAGAGGAAACGTAAGTGGAGACGATGAGGAGCTCAAGGGTCTGAAAACTGAACCACCAATGAACTCACCATGAGACATGCAGAGTGCTTGCATTTATGCTGTCTTCGGTGGAACAGGAGGAATAAAACTGCTCTTCAAAATGCAAGAAACTGTTCGCCTCTACTTTGTCTACAAGACAAAATGAGCAGCTTAAATCCTGGGAAATGAATCGGTATCTGTGAAAAGTAAAAAAAAAATTACTTCTGTGTAGGAAATGCTTATTCATATGGGAAAAGCAGAGATTTTTTAACAGCAATGGTTGTCCAAAGGTAGCGTGAAGAGATCTCTCTCTGTTAGTGCTGCACCATCTGGTAAACCTTGGGGACACACAGAGTGACTACGCCAGCTCCAGCCCTGCTGAAAGCTACACAGGAGCCCCCGCGTGCTGGAGCAGGGAGGGCTCGAGGGCCGTGAGCTGGCTGTGCTTTCCCGTGTGTCAGGCCCCCACACCTGGGACAGCGTGCAGAGCAAGGGAGACCCGGCATGCAGCTTCCTGCCTTTAGAGCTGTCACTGAGCAGCGTCCAACCTAGACCAGGGAGGGATGTGGAAGGGAGTCACAAGTACGGTGACTGGGGCACAGGAATAAGAGTCCCCAAGCAGTGGCCGTCCCACTTCAGAGCGTCGAGGTAAAGACTTGAGTGAGAGCAAACTCACAGCCTGGCTGCCCTTCTGATTGCAGGTCAGGTCACCTGGCCTCCCACACTCCCTCCCAGGTCACCTTCGCTCTCTCCCTCTCCCGACCTCCATTCCACCTTGTCCCCTGGACTCTCGGCCCAGCCAGAGTTGAGGAATTCCCAGAGACATGCTCGGAATGGGCCTGCACAAATGGTCACCAGCATGTTTTCTCTAATGCCTTCTCAGCCTTGCCGCCAGGTCCTGCGGCGTTTTCCCGAAGCACACTCTCTCACCTTGCTTTGAGCAGGGGCCCGGCTCCGGGATCTTGCTTTGTTTGGTTGAAGAAAGTATTCAGATAGTGATAAAAAGAGTAAAAATACCCAAATGGAATAAAAACAAAATAAATGACCACATAACACTAGTTGTGATTATTTTAACGTGTTTATGAACAGAAGAAATAAAAGGAATTAGCAGACTACCTCAGATTAACTGCAAGCTATTGCATAGTATCTCAGTGCAGGTTTTGATCACATTAGGAAATACTGGCAGAAGAAAGTCCAGGCCAAGCCACTGTGCACTGCGGTGAGGTACAATGGACAGCCATGGCCTTCTTCGCGGAACAGAGATTTCTTCTTCCTTCGGGGACACTGACCCAGGATTGGCAGGAAGAGCACCACCCCCAATGATGCAAGACCTGAGGTCCATTTCCAGCTCTGTTGGGCCAGCCTCAGTGCTTCTCCCTTGCTCAAATGTGAGCATTTATAATCTTATGCAAGAGGAGCTTAGCATCGTCAGCCACTGTATCAAGGAATTTTGAGCGTAGAAAGCAGGCTTTCAGAAACTGGGCGACAACAGATGTGACACCTCCGTTCACTGAGCAGAAGCTTTCAGCACAGCGCATGGCCTTCGCCGCTGTGCTGTCATCCTTCACCAGGGCCCAGAAATCCAAGCACCTGGTGTAGCCCTTGATATCCTGCACTGATGTGCCAAGCTTCATGGCAGTCTCTGCAATGGACTTATCATCCAAGCCAAAATATTTTCGGTAAAGCTTCAAGCACGCTTCCTGTTCAGACAAATCAAAGCCTTTGAGGATGGGCATAAAGGGAATGAAAGCCAGAGCTGAGGACTTCACAGCGTCCAGCCAGATCTTCTCCTTGAGGAAACCTCTCTTCAGCTCAATGCAAGCATCTGACAGCGTGGGCAGCATGACTGCGAAGGCCTGGCGCTTGTGAGCAGGAAGCTCCCCCAGCAGCGTCCTCTGCAGATCTGGGAAGTCAAAGTCATGCAGCTCAAAGTTGGAGACCAAGAAGATGCGCGGGTCAGGCACTCCTATGTCATAGAGGTTAGCCAGGCAGTTGTCTCGGATCAGCTGGAGAACTCTCTCCCTCTGGAAGGACTGGGGCTTGCCTCTCCGCTCATTATATAAATCACTGTCCACCTTGCTTCTAACAAAGTAGAAGTTCTTCCCAGCTTCCTGGATTTTCCCGGCCAGGAGAGCATCGTTGCAGGTGAAGCGGGAGGAGGAAATGATGATGAAGCAGTCGAATGTGGCAAAGCCCACTGCTTCGAGGTAGGTGTCCGGGGTGAAGGTGGGCGTCCCGGTCCCAGGCAGGTCCCAGAAGGTCACGTTGGGGTATTTTGGATGTTTATAGGGGGTTTTCTTCTTGGTGATCTCCACAACCCCAACCTCAGCCGCCCCTTCCTCCTCGTGACCAAGGCCTCTGAGGGCATTGATGAAACTGGACTTGCCTGTCCCCGACCCGCCGATCACAGCCACTTCCAGGGCAGCATTTTTGGCCTCACTGAGTATTTCTTCAATTATATCCACCGCAGCCCGTAGGTTCCCTTCTTTGAGGACTGCTTCAATTTTACTGAGAGTTTCTGGTGGAATGACACCTCCAGCATTACTGATGAAGGCAGCACTTTGAGACATAAAGTCAGCAGCTAATTGCTGGAAATTCTTTTGAGTCAAGTTCTTCAGGAAGTCTGAGATCAATGCATCCATGGCAGCTGACTCGGGAAGGTCTGTAAAAAGGAGAGAAAACAGAGTCACAGGGAAGCAGCATCCAAACAGAAGGACAGTCCTCAATACCTCAAGGGACTTCTGACACGATTTAAGGCAGGACAGACAGGACAGGAAAAGGACATGGAGGACGAAGCACAGGTGGAGTGGGAGCCAGAGAGGTGGAGAGAGGGCTGGAGCCAGGATGCAGGGAGGCGGAGATGCGGGCAGACACAGGAAGTGCCTCATCCCACAGCCTCAGGGAGCCGGTCCTCCCCACATTCAGTTTCTGCACCCTAGAAACTAGCCTTTCAATTTTTGAACTCCAGGATGAGAAGAGATTAGATTTCTGTTTTCCAGAAAACTCGACACAGGCACCCTGGGCAGGCAGGACCAGCAGAGGGGAGGCCCTGGTGCGGGGCACAGTGGACAGGCTGGACCAGTGGCGTGGGGAAGTCTGAAGCGGCGGGGAGAATCTGAGCCAGGAGCTGGTAGATGAGGTGCTCAGCGATTTTGCTGCAGCACACAGACACCCAGCACAGGAGCAGGCGGGTGGGGCCACCATTCTGCATCAAAGGTCTGAGGAGAACTCCAGCAGCGGGGACCAGTGCCTGCCTCCACATCCGGAGGCCAAGCTCAGCCCCACACCCAGCATAAATCCCCTGCACAGGTGGCAGGTCACACAGCACACTTGTGGGGTTTGAACTGGATACTGCCACACCAATGTGGATGCCAGAGGAATTCCACTGCTTTTCTTTCTCTTTACGTGATTGATTTTCCTTCTTCGGTCCGGTCTTTCCTTCTTCTTCCTTCAGTATTTAGTCTTTTATGTCCCTTTTGTTTCCTTCTACTCATCTTCTTTCTCGTTTTCCGAACAATTTCTCTAGGTTTTACGATATTTTCATGTTAGGAAACACTGTCTCCTTCTGCTCCACTTCAAAACTCCGCTGCTTTGTCTTTCATTCTTCACCCCTGTGTTCTCCTGTTTCCAAACATTTTGGAGATAATCCTTTTCCATTTAGCCTTGCTTCTACTATATTTCACTTAATTCATCTCTCTATCTGGTCCCCTAAGCCCCTTAACCCACAGTGGGGTAAAGCCACTTTGCTGAGAGGAAAATCATTGCATCCAAGTTTCTGGTATATGCTGAGTTTTGTTACACAACTGTAGAATCTGCTCTCATAGGTAAAGGCATCAGCTTAATATTTATCCAAGCTTATCAGTAGTCAGCCTGCGTTTGATGCTATTATTATTGCTAATTGTATTTGTTTTTTGGTCTTTTTTGAGATGGGGTATCGCTATGCAGTTCAGGCTGGCCTTGAGCTCACTTTATAGCCCAGGTTCGTCTGGAACTCACAATGATCTTCCTTACGTCAGCCTCCCGAGTGCTGGGATTACAGGCGTGAGCCACCACACCCAGCTTGCTAATTGTATTACTTTAAAGAGGATGTAAACCTGTTATAATCAGTTTTTCTTCTTTGTATGAAAATTCTGTCATTGTCTGGGGTCATAACCATTACTTTATTCCAGTAGCAAAGGACTGGATGCTGAGCCAAATACGCAGCGTCTTCTCATCCATAATATATTTGGAAAGTAAGCTCTTGAGATAGACACAAAGACCAAGAACCACCTACATCCAGAAGACATCGCTGAGGAACAGACATTTCCTAGGGAAGACTCAGCACTACAGATAAAGCTACCAACTGTAGGAATCTACAAGCACAAACACAGAACACTAAACTGGAAAACAGAAAATGACAAGAGACAGAAGAAAAATGTAGCCCCAGACTTCTAGCCCACCCAAGACAAGTCTAGAGCACGGTGAGTTAGAGGAAATTGAAATACTCCATCTGGAACTTCCTGAAAATGATACCAGCAGAAGTGAACAAACAAATGGATGAGACTATAGCGAAAATAATCTCTCAGGTAAAAATAGAAATGATCAAAATGACAGAAATTAGAGCAGACACAGATTTTAAAAATACAGGAGCGTAGGAAAGTGATGGACGCCATAAACACCCACTATAGGAAAGAAATGGAACCTGTGACCCAGATTCAAACAGAAATCCAGGAGATTAAAACTCTGTGAAAGTATATGCAAGAGACTGAACAGAGGTGAAGACAGAATATCAGATTGAGAAGACAGGACTGTGGCTAATGATCACAAAAGGAAAGTTATCTTAAAAATAGCCAGAGACTATGCAAAGTCAGCTGTAAGATGAAGCAAATCAGAGCAACATAAGATTGATTGGAGTCAACAAGAAAGCTGGAGACAGCACAAATGCCATAAAAAACCTCTTCACAGACGTAATGCTAGAAAACTCCCAAACATAAAGAATTTGACATACAAATAAATGCAGCATGTAGAACTCCAAGTAGCCATGACCAAAATAAATTTATGCTGATGGATATAATAATCAAGATTACTAAAACTCAGCACTAGAACAGAAATTAAAAGCAACTAGAGAAAAGAAACAAGTCACCTGTAAAGGAAAGCCTGCCAGAATCCCAGGAGACTTCTCAACACAAGTCCTCAAATCTACAAGAATTTGGAGTGAGGTATGTCAAGCCCTAAAAGAAAACAACCTCTGACTCACATTAATGTACACTGCAAAATTATCTTTCAAACTTGACGAAAAACTAAGATACTTCTATGACAAATAACAACCGTAGAAATTCATGACAATCAAACCAGGCCTCTAAAATGCTCTGAAGGATATTTTAGAAAGAGAAAACAAAAATCACAAGCACAAGAACAGCAATATAAAGAAGCCACCGGGGAAGGCAAACAATTAAACAGAGGGGAAAGATAGGAAAACAACAGCAAAATAAGATGAAAAAGATAAGCCGATACAGATCGCTTATCACCATCAATGTAAATGGTCTCAATTCAACAATCTAGAGAAACAGACCGGCAACACGGGTCAAGCAGCAAAATTCAACAATGTCCTGCATGCAAGAAATACATTTAATTCAGAGAGAAATCCAGAGACTCAAAGTCAAAGGATGGAAAACAATACTTCATGCCACAGATGCCTGGAAAAAAGCAGGGGTAGCAATTCTAGATGCAGACAATGTGAACTTCAGAGTAAGACTGATGGATCAGAAGAGACAGAGTCACTACATACTTGTTAAGGGAAAAGATCAAGAAGAGACAACACCCATAAATACATACACACCAAATGCTGGTGTACCCAAAACCCAGCTACATAAAACTAATAATAGTGGACATGAGAAATCAAATGAGCACTAACACAGTTCTAATGGGGGACCATAACACCCCACTATCACAATCTGATAGATCAACTAGACAAAAATCAACAAAGAAATATCAGAACTAATGTAGACCTGTGAAAATATGAACTTAGTAGATGTCTATAGAGTGTTCAATGCCACAACATGAGAATACACACTCATCTCAGCTGCCCATGGGACATTCGCCAAAATAGACCACATACTATCCTGTATAACACACTTTAATAAAGGCAGAGGAATGGAAATGTCCCATGTATATTATCTGACCAAGGTACAATCAAAATAGAAATCAACAGCAAAATAAATCATAAGAACTACACAAACACTTAGAAATTAAACAATATTCACCAGAAAAACTAAACTTTCACAGAGGAAATTAAAGAAAAAATTAAACTACCTACAATTAAATAATAAGACTGATACAACATACTAGAACCAATGGGATGCAATGAAAGCAGTCCTATGAGGGAAATTCATGGTGGTGAATTCTCACATCAGGAAAAGACAGAGCTCAAGTAAACAACTTAATTAACAAACTTTGTTATGAGAGAGCAACTTATAAAGAAAAGAGCAAAAATTAATACAATTGAGGCTCAGAAAACAATACAAAGGACCAATGAATTGAAGAGCTGGTTCTTCAAAACATTAAATAAAATTGATAAAACTTTAGCCAACCTTCCCAAAGTAAAGACTCAAATTCATGCAATTAGGAACAAAAAGAGTGCAATCACAAGAGATTCTGTGGCAGTCCAGAAGATCATGAGTATCTACTTTGTGAACCTGTATTCTAATAAGATGGAAAACAAAGAAGAAATGAACAGACTGCTAGACACATGAATTGCCCAACTGAGCTGAGAAGATATCAAAATTATAAATGACCAGATATCAGTCAATGAAATTTAAATGTAACTAAAAACCTACCCGACAGAGAAAAGCCTAGGTCCACACGGATTCACTGTTGAAATTTAAAAGGAATTTAGACAAGATATAATGCTATTCCTGCTGAAACTTTAATGAAACTAAAAGGGAAGCAACACTTGCAAAGTCATTCGTGAGGGCAAGTATTATCCTGGTATCAAAACTAGAGAAGGACCCAATCGATAAGAGAAAACTGCCAGCCAATCTCCCTCCTGAACACTGACCAAAACATCCTCAATAGGACACTGACAAATGGGACACAGCAAGTCTTCAAGAAATTATTCATCGTGACAAAGGAAGATTCATCCAGGGATGCAGGGATGGTTCAATATATGCAAATCAGTAAGTGTAAGACGTCATGTTAACAGAGCCAAAGACAAAAATCACTCACAATAGACACAGAAAAAGTTGTGACAAAGTTTGACACTTATTCATGATTAAAAAAAAAACCTCCACAGAAAATTGAAATTGAGGGGTCATGAGTTCGATTCCCAGTACCAAGAGAAAATTGAAATTGATGGCCTTTACTTCCATCTGATAAAATCCATCTATGACAAATCAACAGCTAACATCATACTAAGTGGTTAACAATGAAAAGCTTTCATCTAAAATCAGGAATGAGGAAACAATGTCTACTATTACCATGCATATTCAATATAGTTCTGGAAACACTAGCTAGATCAATTAGACAAGAAAAAGAAATACAGATAAGAAAGGAAGAAGTTAAATATCACTTTTTGCAGGTGATACTCTATGTACAAGATCCCAAAAACTCCATCAAAAGACTTGTAGGCTTAATAACCATATTCTGGAGCATAGCTGGACACAAAGTCAACACTCCAAACAGCATTCCTGTACAAAGCCTCCAACTCACAGAGAGAGAAATTAGGGAACTCACATCTTTCACAATACCATCCAAAAATGAAATAGGAATCCATCTAACAAAAGAAATCAAAGGCCTGTGCATTGACAGTTTCAGTACCCTGAAAGAACAGACTGAAGAAGGTATCAGTAAATGCAAAGACACCCTTGACCACGGATAGGAAGAACCAGCCCAGTGAAAGTGGCTATACTCTCAAAAGTGCCACACGGATTTCATGCAATTCCAACCCAAATACCATCAGCGTACCTCACAGAACTAGAAAACATTCCTAAAATTCATGTGGAACCAGAAGAGGCCTAGAATGGCAAAAGCAATTCTTGGCAGTAAAAGCAAGGCAGGGGGCATCATAGTCCCTGACTTCAAATTATACTACAAACAACTGTGATAACAGGAAAACAGCAGGTACAAACACACACGTGAGGATCAGTGGAACAGGCGAGAAGAGGCAGAAACAACTTCAAACACACTGAGCCACCTCATCTTTGATCAGGAGACAAACATTCACTGGGAGAAAGATGGCCTCTTTGATAAACGGTGCTGGAAAACCGACTTTCCAAATGCCAAAGGCTACAGCTGGATCCATGTCTACCACCATGCAGTAAACTAAAGTTGACACAGAAGCACTGAACCTGCTGGAGGCCAGAATAGGCAGGACCCTGGAGCGGACAGCTGTGTAAAAGGGTCTCAGGAACAAAGCCCTGACCGCAAAGGAACTACTACACAGAGCCAGCAGCTGGGGTCTCATCCTGTGAGAAAGTTCCCACACAGCCAAAGACATCACCAACAGAGTGAAGACAGCCCACACAGTGGGAAAAAACGTGACCCAGCTGTCTCCTAGACAGAGGACTTACATCTAGAACATATAAACAATTTTAAACAATCAGATCCCCAAATTTAAAGACCCAGTTCAAAAATTGGCATCTGAGATGAACACACTCTTCTCAGATGAGGAAATACAAATGGGAACTAAGTACATGAAGAAATGTTCACTATCACTGATTATTTGAGACACACGAATGGAAACAATGTGGAGGTTCCTTCTCACTCCAGGAAGAATGGTTATTATCAACAAATCAACCAATAATCATGGAGAGGCTGTGGCAGGGAAAAGGGATTTTTTTCCCTGTTGGTGGGAGTGTAGACTGCTGCAACACTGTGGAAATCACTGTGATGATTCTCAAAAAACCAGGACTAGTGGGACCATTAGACCCAAATATACCCCTTCTGGTATTACCCCAGAAGAATTAAAACATCCGTCCACAGCAATATAAGAGCACCCATGTTTATAGCAGCACCGTTTGTAATACCTAAGCCTTGGAAACAGCCCAAATGCCCATCCCCTGAGGAATGGATAAAAAAGAGGTGTGTTTTCAAACAGTGGAGTACTACTCAGCCATAAAAATGACAAACAGGAGCCATTTCTAGATTAACGGGTGCAACTTGAGACCTTCCTTCCAAGCGAAATACACTGGACTCACATATGTGACTGTCACCGTGTCTCCCTGGTGAGAGGATCTGAAATAGGAAGGAAGGACCAAATGCTCAAAAGGACCAAGGAACTAGGGACGGGGAAGGGAGAAAGATGGAAGGGAAAGAAAAGTGATTTCCCAAAAAAGGATAAAATGAAAACAGCTTTGTAAACAGGGAGGGGAAGAGGAGGGGCTGGGGAAAGACAGGGACCAAAACATGTCACCCACAGGTACAAACTCCCTACGGTGAGGATCACTATGTGTATCTACAAGGTACCAATACACTTAACTTTAAAATGACACAGGATAGCTGCTCATATCTACAGTTCACAGGGTGGTTTTCCACACGTGTGTGTGGTGTCAGTGACAAAGTCAAAGCCATGAACATCTATCCACCCACCCACTCAAACACGGACCACTGCCTGGCTGGGACACACCGAGAATCCTCTCTCCTGGCTGTGTGCGAGGGACCCTGCGTCCCGACAGTCCCGCTCTGTGCTACTGCAAGCCACCCTGCTCCCTGTCATCTGTGTCCTCCTCAGGAGCACCCTGCCCTCCCTGCTCCACCTGGATCTTGAGGCTCCCCCGAACCCCGGTGCTGGTGGCTTGGTCCCTGCCCATGGTGCTCCTGGGTGGTAATGGGCCTGCAGGAGGTGGGGCTGGGATGGAAGTCAGGCTGCTGGGTGTCCTGGGAGGGACACGGGGCTCTGCCCCTCCTTCCACCTTTGCTCCCCAGATAAGGAGAGGGGCGCAGGCCTCTGTACAAGGAGCTCCAGGCAGTGAGAGGCCCCGCCGCCGGCCCAGAGCGCGGGAGGGTGGGCGAGGGCTGGGCCTGGACACAGGAGCCAGCATGCAGCTGTGCTCCCTCTACCTGGGCCGTCCCAGGGACTGTGCACTGCTGCTGGCTGACACGCTGCCCCCCACTCTCCTTCTGGGGCACCAGCATCGTATTCTCTGTTTCTACCTGATGAACTGTTTAGATCCCACAGAAGAGTGAGAACAGGCACATCTGTCTTCCCGGCCTATTTCTGGCTGTCCTCCTGCTCACCGTGGAGCCACACAGGATGGAATTCTGTCCTTCTCTACGGCTCAGTATCTCCCACTGTGCATGGAGACCAGGTTTTCCTTTGCCATTTGTTCACCAACAGAGGCGTACATCTGACTCTGCTTGTGTTTTTTTAAGCTTCACAGGTGCAGGGGAAGTTGGGAGTAACACGGATGCACATGAGAAACCACAGCCTCAGCTTCGAATCACACAGCTGCTTGAAAACTGCTTCCTGCTCACAGCCCACGGCTTGCTTTTCCACCTCCTAAAAAGGGCCTGGGCCCCGGAACCCTCTGAGGGTCCCTAAAATAGGACGGAGTTTTCAGGGGCAGTTAATAAAGCCATATAGCAGCTGCTGAGGGTAGTCAGGCTCAGTCAGACTCGGAGCACATGCGCGTCACCCTCGAGAAACACTGTCTGCATTATCGATGACGAAAAACAGATTTCTAAGACATTCTACGCCCGACAAGCTAGCATTATAAAACACTGATATTTGGATAGTGCACGGCGTCATCTGCAGTGGGAGACACCCAGCAAATAGTCTGCTCAGTCCAAAGGTTCTCACAATTTCACAACAACAAAAACAAAAGGAGTCTTCAGAGACCAGTGTCTCTGCTGTGGGAGGAGGGTGAGCTGACCTTGCCTCCCATCCCCACAGAGTGCCCGGCCCAGCCCACTATGCACATAGTGAGAGCCCCGGCCCCTCAGACTTAGCAGCATCCTCACTCACCAGCCTCAGGCAGATGGCTAGTGAGGGAACACACCCGCTGTGTCCACTGCAGGAGGAGAAATGCTGAACCCCAAGTGCTCACCGCTCTCCAGAGCCTAGCAACGTGGCCTGCGAGCCCTGAGTTCTCCAGGAAACCAACACGGTGTCAGCCTGGTCAGCTCAGAGGGCAGGAGGTGAGGAAGTGTGAGTCCCCAGGACCTGTGCACCCTGTCACCAGCCCCAGGGAGCACTAAAGAGGAAGGACCTCCCACAGCCTGGCCCGGGCCACACCCTCATAGGGGTGGGCTGACCAGTAAGGCAGACAGTGAAGAAAACCAAAAGGAAACCAGAGAGGCTTTTAGTTTTTGAGGAATCTCTGCTAATTTCCAGAGTAACAGTGACTCAGAGGGCAAGAGGAGGTTAGATGCTGCTGGGGCAGTGCTGGGGCTCCGGGGCCCCGAGACTCGCACTGCCAAACCTCCAGGCAGACCGAGAGCCTCAGGAGGGAGGCAGTTCTGACCTGGACGTCCAGGAGCAGGGCCCGGGACAGAGCAGTACCCTGTGAGTCTCCTCTGGCTCTCACCATCTAGTCTGTGTGTGTCTCTCTTCCTCTGCAGTGGCCGTGGGTCACTTTGAGCTCTTCTCTCTGCCCTGGTCCTCTTTGCCCAGCTCTGAAGAGGTACTCACCCTATGTGGGGGTGGCATCAAAAGGGACCAGAGAGCCGCCCTGGCCCCTCGGTAGTGGCGAGACGCCTTCTCTGGCCAGTGGCCTGTATCTCCCTGAGCCAGGAGGCTCTCCTCCTCCGGGGACAGCGCTATCTCTAGGCAGTCAACGCTGTGTCCCACACTCAGGGTGACCAGCCCTGCATCCCCCGCCAGAGTCCAGAGTCTTATGAAATTGTAACCACCCCTTCCCTTATGGAGACAACGGGAGCAGGGACAGAAGTCATCTTCTTCCCTCTCTTCAACCTGCAAGAGACAGCCATGAGAGCCTGGGGCAGGGGAGGCCTTGTGTGGACCAGGACAATCTGGGCCCCTGATGTGGTTCTGCCTGGCAAGGGCAGAGCCTTCTCTAGGGTTCGAAAAATCACTTCGTTGGAAATAGGGAAAGGTGGCTTTGTTGGGACAAAGAGAAGGAGATAGCAGGAAGCACCAAGTGTGCTCTCAGCCTCCCTGGCACATGGCTGTCGCCACCGGAGAGCTGCCAGAGCGAGGGCTGTCCTGGGCTCTGAGACCCGGATGTGGCCATCAGCCCTCCCTTAACCCACGCAAGGGTGCATTCTAGGACGAGTGTGCTGTGGCCTCTGTGCTGTCTGGGGCCCGCCCATGACCCATGAGATTCACAGCAGGACGGCCTTGGGTGCGCGCACGCTCCAGTGTACTGACAGGGCAGGAGCAGGTTGTTGGGGCTCACACACAGGGGCGTGTATCTGATATGCTGCGGGAGGTTTTATACTGCAGCCTTCTTCTCACCTGCTGGGGTTCTGCAAGCAAAGGGAAAATAAAGGGTCGCACACACCAAGGCTCAGCAGAATGGCTGCTGCCCCGCCAGCCTGAGCAAACAGCTTTTGTTGAGATATAGAGCAAAGAAACTCAAATTGCACATGCTCAGACTATATAACTTATTGGCTTCTTGACCTTAGAGGACCTCATGTTGTCACATTTTCCATAACATCGCTGACCCGATGCATCGGGACGAAATGGAGTCAGTGTGGGCTCTCTACACCCACTTGGTTGCTTTTGTGCTTAATTGGGGGTGGAGGAAGGCGGCAGGAGGGAGCTGAGCCCTGGTAGCCAGGCTGGGGCCTGATCAGCTCTGTCTCCCTCTCTGTCCTGACTCCCTCTCTGCCTCTGGCTCTCTCCCCTCTGGCTCTATTTCTCTGCCCCTCCCCTCCCCCATTTAACTCCTCTAACTCTCCCTGCCTGCCGCCCCTGCAGGTGCTCACAGAGGATGTTCATCCAACTGTCCCTATCAGTGTGTCAAGGACAGGGCAGCCTGGATATACAGAGCTCCTGTCCTCTGCTGGCTTCCTGCAAAGGTGGGGCGGCCTGGTCCTCTCCTCACTGACTGCTTACCTATCTCCACCTCTATCCACAAAGAATCCTCTGGCAAAGGGCTTCTGGTTGTCCTGCTGAGGGAAAGGAGAAATCAGGCCTGGCACAGTCACCTTTGAAATCTCACAGCCCCTGAGGGGTTGCACAAGTTACCAACATTTGAAATCTGCCCCTGAACCCAGAAAACTGACTCACAAACCCTGTGTCCCAGCCCGAGGCCCATGCACACACTCCCTGGGGAGCTGGCCCTGCTGCTGGGGAAGGTTGCAGGGTGGCGTGGGGGCCTGAGGTCTGTCCTGCCCTCTGTGTAGGTCGGTCAGTCAGCACAGATGGGAAATGGAGGGAAACGCAGAGTGTGACATGGGACTTGGAGTGTGTGGCCACGTGAAGGGTCCAGACAGTGGTGATGGGGTGGCCAGGAGCTGAGAGAGCCTGGGACCCCACTGGGCTGTCCTGTGGGCCTCTGCACCAGGGATCTGAGGAGGAGTGGCTGTGGCGTCCTTCCCTCAGAGGGAACTGCATGGGTGAGGGAGGGGACCGCAGGGGCCAGCGTGAGCCCTAGAGATGGGGAAGTTCCAGGATCAGAAAGGAGGCAGCTGGACCACACAGGTCCACAGAGCACGCTCAGAACCCAACGCCTTGTCCAGCAACCCCCTCACCTGGGAACCAGGGGGCCCTCTCCCCTGGCAGACGCCACCTCCATGCCCAGCCAGGTAGGGGCCCGGGGCATCCTCTGAACAAACACTTCGCCCAACAGTGCCCATCAGTCACAGGGAGCGGGAGAGTTTGAGGCTGGAGCTGCCATTTTGGAGACGCTGAGGTCAGCGCTCAGCTTATCTTGGGGGAGCAAGACTCTTGTCCCAGGCGGATGACAGCTCTGGGGCTGAGCCCAGCTGTGTGGTGGAGGCAGCAGGTGCAGGGCACAGGAGACAACAGCCACAGGGGACAGACTGCATCCGCAGCTGTCACAGGGGCGGGCCTCTCAGGGTCTGGACGGTGGCCTTGCACAAGGTCCTCCCTCTGACCTGGTGTCCCGGGTGGGGCTGCGGAGCAGCCTGGTCAGGCTCAGGAGTCGGCCAGCCTGTGCTCAGCTGCAGGTTCCCCAGGCTGCCTTAGGAAGCCCTGAGTGGAGCTGGTGCCCGCCCTGCAGCTCTCTCACCCCTCCTGATGGACAGTGTGGGAACTCTCCTGCAGACTCCTGGAAACTGCTCATTTCCGGGAACAGAAACTGAAAGCTGGCCTCACTGCCATTGTGTCCCCTCCTGTGAGACCAGCAGGCAGCTCTCAGACACAGATATACCACAGCAGGGAGCCAGAGCCACGCAGGGGTCCAGGTCTGCAAGCAAAGCCCGGCTGGCAGCTCGGCCTGTCCTTGGCTGCTCTGCTTCCCTTCCTGATGGTCGGCTTTTCCTAGGACCTCAGCCCTTCTCGCCTCATGCCTCATTTCTGAATGTATTTGGGTCTTTCCAGAAGGAAAGCCCTTTACTTGAAGGTTGTGACCTTCTCCCAGGAAGTGGATGCCTTTCTGGAAAAGCCAGAGACACCCGCTTACATTCAGCTTTCTGAAGGTAAGTGCAAAGCTCTGAACTGCACCGTGGCAAGAACTTCTGCTAATGTAAAGACACTAAAGGGGGACCCCTGCCTCCCGAGCAGGAAAGTCTAGGTCTGACCTGCTCTGCTTATGGGGTGTTCACGACAGGGGCCCCCTGTGACAACCTTAAGGCACGGCACAGTGTGACAATATTGTTGGTGCATGGAACCCATCCACCCGCCAGCGTGGAGGCACAGGGCCGCCTGTCACCTCCCTGTGCCTGGTGTTGTGCACCTGGACAGAGTCTGGAAACAGAGGGCAGGGTGTGGCACCTGCTTCTACTGATTTTCTCGGTGGGGACAGAGAGCCTTGGGTACATATGAGAGCCCGGACTTTTACAACAGATGATTCAAGTATTTTATCTACTTTGGAAAAACTGGCTCTTGCGAGGTATCACTTTATTTATAGACAAATAGAGTGGCGGGTTTTCTTCCACGTTTGTCTGTTTTTCTGTGCATGGTTCACTTCACTCAGTGTCCTTGAGTTCTACCCGCTTCTTTGTGAATGACAGGAGTTCACTGTTCTGCCGGGCTGAATGATCTTCCATCGTGTGTGTGTGTGTGTGTGTGTGTGTGTGTGTGTGTGTGTGTGTGAATGTGAATGTCACATTGTCTTCACTCGTGTCCACGGATGGCCCCCTCGGCTGATTCTGAGTCTCAGCTCCTATGAATGCTGCCGTGATTCATGAGGACAGGCAGCTGTGTCTGGGCTCGATGGTCAGTTCTACATTGCTGGGTCAGGTGCTCAGAAAATCACCTTAAAGAAGGGAAGGAAGAACCTGATCAGTTCCTGGTTTGCAAGGCTTAGTTCTTGGTTGCCCCCTGCTGTCTCCTTTGACTCTCTTGAGCAGAATTTCACCATGCAGGGCTGCCCTTCTGCGGGGTCCAAACACTGGACTGGAACCTGACCACAGACCAGGGAACCAGATCGAGGCGTGAGAACAGAACGTTATTAGCGACCACGAGCCCTTTTCCTCTCCTCACTCCTCCCATCTCAGGATCTCCCCATCTCGGACCTTGTCCTGGATCCCACTCACCTGGCTTCCATGAGCCAGTCTGCCTCTGCACCACCCTGACACCACGCCACTCACCCTCCACCCAGATCAGGTACCCTGCCGTCCCACCACAGGCTGCACAAACTGTGGCCCCTGGGACCGTCACAGGGACCCTTGGAAGACTCCAGGTAGTGTGGCCAGTGGCCTCAGGGGTGTGCAGCTCCAAAGCCTATTTGAGGTGTGCTGTGCTTTCCCCCATAGCTCTCCCTCCCTCTGGACTCTGGCAAAATCCGTGATAATTTCACTAGACAGCTCCCTCTCCTCATGGGTATAAAGTCCTTGGAATGGTGGGCTCTGAGGAGTGGGGCTAAAGTGATGTTGTGGTTTACATCTAGATGTCCCGAGTCTCTCTTTTTTTATATGAAGGTAGTAAAATACAACAGAACAAGACAGAACAAAGGCAATCTGGATGCAGTGAAGTTGGTACAGAACCTCACAGCAGGACACAGGGATAACAGTGATAGGTGCCACAGTATATCTCGTTATCTTCACAATAGCTGTCCATTCAATCAGGTATAGCAAGATCAAACCAAAAACAGAACATTATAAAAC